GTGCAAAAATGCAAGCAAGCAGCTGTCTGCAGCCATTTCTGCTCCAAAAAAACTGACAGCACTCACCGGCAACAATCGCTCTATAAGACTGCCGTAATATATTGGATAGTGCATTCTTGAGTTGATTATTTCAGCCATCATTGGGGGTCTGTTGGCCATTTCACCGAATGTCATTTCAGGAAACTTCTAAAATAGCTGGATTATCGTCCTGCGGTAAAAAAAAATGATCTACTGTAAAAAAAGTATAGTAGTCATGGAAAAATGGAAGATAGCAAAAGTTCAAAAATTAGCCTAACCCTATGATACTCAGCAAGACGGCGGAAGTGCTCTGGAGCGTCTACATCCCGTTTAGGTATATATCGGCAGTAGAAATCAATCCTTTCGTTGATCTCTGTGCAGTTCAAAAGGGCCTGCAAAGCATTTCATGAACGAAGAAAAAACAGAATGGAAAGGCCGGAGAGGACCAGTTTTTTAGCAAAAAAGCAGAGATTTTGCGATAGCGAAACACGTAAGTGTTGGAAGTCAAACCTGGACAATGACCATTGCAATTTGGCTAGCGTGGTCAGTTGCTGGATGTAAAACTAATGCCAAAAGAAGTCTATCAAAGGTCATGACATGTCGATGAAAAACCATCAAATTCAGCACGCGAATCATCTAAAATTAAAGATTCATGGGCCACATCACACAAATTCAACCAGTTTGGACAAAAAAGGAGATTAGAAAGAAGCATTTTGTGACTAACCATAGGCAAGAACTCCTCCAAGTTTTTTTCTGCGTTCATTTGCGAGATAATATAGTCTACCAACGCATTCACGGCTAATACATGCTCGCGACAAGTTTGACGCTCAAGGACTCTGCAAAAACATCACTCAATACTTCAAGAAATATCTTGTCAGTTATGAAACTTACTGGTAGATCACAGGTGGCACAATCTGGTGTTCCGGAGGGCTTTCTATCAAAGAACGAAAGATTACACACAAAATAGTTGGCTGTCGCGATGGGAGAGCCATGTACTCCATCCAAGACAACTCAGGTTGACCTCGCATTTGCATAAAGTCCGTGTGAACCTCCCGCTGAACAACGAATTTTCACTCTAATTAGGTACGAAAATAGTGCCATACCTGAAAAGCTTCCGCTTTCGCTGGATCTTCCTCAAGCGTTATTGCCGTTCGTTGCGCAGATAGTGGCAATGAGGAGAGCTAAACACAAATCTCCAAAATTGGATTACTTGATAAACTTTGGAGTAACTAAACCTCCTCAAATAAACACACTTTTAGGCCATAAAATAAGCAAGAACCAAGTCAGCTGAACAGAAGTCTTACCTGACTTGGCGCCCAAGTATAAACCTGATTGATGCGGATTATCTCCGGATCACTTTCGATTCCTACAATAAAACGACAAAATATGGTACGACAAAGCTAACCAAATTCAATGGCATACCCATGATTTTCATT